TCTTCACTAATGTGCAATACGCGCTCTAAGTGGAAAGCCACACAAAGCTAAAGTCTTCATTACCTCAAGAAAGCTAAATTAACATAAACAAGTCCCTGATGGAGAAGGACAGATATTGTGTTTGAAGGCCACATTACTTTTGTTTTCAGAAGCTAAAAGAAAAAGAGATGTGGATCCTTTGAAATAAAAAAAAAAAAAACAAAACGTTATGAAGGGTTGTGCTGATCAAGGACAGCTTTCACTTTGCATTAGGGATATTTTATTGGCCCTTATTAGTGTTTATAAATGTCAGGAAATGTCCTTGGCAAAGATCAAGCAGACTGGAGCATTTTGTATTTATCTGGGTCTGTCTCACATAGTGCTGTGCAACAGGCCATTTACGGTACCGCAGAGTTAATGCACAATGATACCAAATCAGATCACCAGCATTTAATACATAATGCCATATATAATAATAATGAGATAATAATATAATAAGAGAATTTTAATAATAAAATTATGATTTCTAAAAGGTCCCAGAATTATGTTTATTTCTGCCTTTATCACCTCATTTTACAACAGGCTTAGGGGGAAATTTTCAATTCAGGGCTTCCCCGATTAGACTTTGAAATCCCAAACAAAGAACCTTCCCTGGCAAGTTCTTAGAGCTGATCTAACCCCTGAAGTTCTGATCAGCAAATCAGAGCATCATACTGCAGGCCAGATTACAAGGAAGAGGATGGTTGGGCACTGGTGGCAATAAGGATGGGCCAGGACCAGAGAGCAGAGGCAGGGAAGTGGGTCGTGTTTCAGCTCTCTGGAGGAGGCAACAAAAAGACACTGGCCTTAAGTCAGTATTTGGAAAGTGAAAAAAAAGAAAATGGGAAATAATTATATACTTCTTTAATAAACATACTGCAAAGGTAAAAATAGGAACAGGATTTGGTTTAGGGACAGAGCAGCCTCCTTTCAGGGAATCTCTCCTTGGGATGCAATGTCTGCACAGGTTTATATTCTCATTGCAGAGCTGCAGAAAGCTCAGTGTCCGTTTTTACACCACCTTGTGAGCACAGGACAACATTGTCATTTCAGTGCTTTATGAACCCAGCCAATTAGTGCAGTTCCTTCACTTTTCCAAGATGTTGGAAGAGAATTAGCATGAGAAACATGAACTCCTTCTGGAAGACATTCCCTCTGGCTCTCAGATCTCCCACAATGTGATCCTTGTAACATCTGGCAATATTGCTATAGATGTTTCTCCTACAATTTGGGTCACAGCACACGCACCTGTTTCAACATCATGAAGTCCTATATTCTCTTCAGCTAGAGATATAATATCTTCTGACATGTAGCATGGTTTAAAGTTTTCTTTCTTTTCTTTGAGCAACAGAGAAAAATTGTTTGTTCTATTTTCTACTGTCTACAAAAAAAGTTATTTCTCTTGGGGTCCAAACTTTGTTTCCTGTGATTTCCTTTTTCTGGTGAAAAGAATGAAGCTCATCATAAAAACGTATCTGAGACAGACCAAAGGACTTCTTAACACAATTTTTTCTCTGAAGTGGCCATCAGTAGATCTTTCACAAATGAGTAAAAGAAACTCTATAAAGAGTGATCAATTCTTAAATACATCACAGAATCATAGAATGGTTTGGGTTGGAAGGGACCTCCAAGATCATCCAGTGCCCCCCTTGCCCTGGGCAGGGACACCTCCCACCACACCAGGTTGCTCAAAGCCCCATCCAACCTGGTCTTGAACCCTTCCAGGGATGGGGCAGCCACAGCTTCTCTGGGCAACCTGGGTCACGGTCTCACCACCCTAACAAGTCAAGAATTTTTTCCTAATATCTCATCTAAACCTCCCCTCTTTCAGTTTAAAACTGTTCCTCCTCATCCTATGGTTCCCCTCCCTGATCAAGAGTGAGATTTTCCTCTTTAGTTGAAGAGTTGCCCTGATCAAGTGTTTATTAGAAAGGGTAGAACCACCCAAGAGCAAGCCTTGTTCAAGGAGCTCAGGTTTCCACCTCCATAGCCCACATCCACAGGCATGGAGTGACGCTGCGCTGCAGAGGCAGCTGGGCTGGACACATCCAAAGGCTGAGAAACCCCTGGCTCTGCCTGGGACTAATGGCACAATCTCGGTATAATCCTATTTTAGTTTTTAAAAAACCTTTGGAAGCAGCGGGAATTGTGGGAATGCATAGGGTACATCTGAATCTCAACAGGAGTCAATAACTCAGGCAAAGTAAACAATAATATGGCTCTATAGAATTACTGGAACACGCTGCTGTCTAATAAGAGCAGAGCAGAAGGTGAGCAAGCTTGGATCTGTCTGCCAAGTCAGACATGTCTGTAATTAGATCTTATCAGTTACTTAACATCCTACTTCTGTCTATATTTTGTTTACATCCAGAAACCAATTATCCCATTACTAGCCAGTATATGTCAAGCAAATACAACACAATTTAGTCCCATATTTTAAAAGTGTTATGATTACAAATCTGAAATATTGCCAGATTTTACTAAAGGTAAATAAGAGCCCCTCTATGAAGGCACCATATGCACGATGCCCCCTCTTAGAGAAATAAGGTACCACGCAAAGCACAGTGAATATATCAGTGCTCTGTGAGTCTCACAATAGCAGCAGTTGATAAGAAAAATATGCACTTAACATTCAGAAACACTGACCAGAAATATTCCTGAGCAAACTACAGCAGTGCATGTCAATGTGTTTAAAATATGCAAAGAATTACAATAGTACTGATGGAAATATTAATTTATATTTGCATATGTTCTGCAGCTTTGAAGCATTTCTTTTCATTTTTCATATCTCTATCCAAAGTTTATTTTAGCCCCCAAATTGATTATTTTCAGAACATTATCAGCCCTCTAATATATGTTCAGGTTTTGACTTTTGGTTAGGTTTTTGGTCAAAATCAGTCACTACAGGCAAAATATATTCAATTGAAGATATCTATGGCCATAAAAACTACAAGAAAACTTTCTGGAAGGTTTTTAATTGAACAGCTTCTACTTTACTATCTGTAACACAAACATATCGCACCCAGAGTTTCATCTGTTTCAGTCACTGAATTTGGGAATACACCCCCCTCTTTACTTCAAGGGACACAGCGATTTTTGCTATAGCGCTCTCCAGTGTCTCCAGTGAGGCTGTGAGCAGTCCCAGCACTCTTAGTGCTTCAATATTAGCTGGAAACTGGATTAAAAGGCCACTGGATGGTTAGCATTAAAAGATTTCCATTAAAGAGTCACCCTCACCCTTGGAATCCAGCTTTTTCACCATTGTAGAAACAAGGCCGCATTTCTTTATTCTAATGAACAATAGGTGTATCTTAGGCAGCTAATGACGCTAAACAGACAACTGGAGAATATCAAGATCATTTAAATAGCCCTTTGAAAACTGTGAGGTTCTGTTATAAATGGGAAAGCTGCCGGAACAACGACCCGTGTACATTCACCCCACACCTTGATCAAAACAAGAAGTCACATCATAAAGTAAATAAGGCAGCGTTAGTAAGAGCATCTTGAAGGAGGTTTTGCAGAAGATGGAGCTCTGTAATGCAATCTAACTGCATTTTGCAAGCAGGTAAAAGGATTAGTGTTTACAACTCAGCACCACATTTTATACTGTTATTTTTAGTGGTGAATCTAAAACTATCCAAGCAGCAGGAAAATTCACTGCAAGTAGGCTATATTTACAAAATCACATGGTTATTTACCATCTTTTAGCTTTTGTAGATCTTTTTTAAGGGAGAGGGATTACTTCTCAGCAACTACTGCTCTTCAAGCCTTGCTCCTGTGCAAGCCCAATTAAAGGATTAATGGATGTTTCTGGACCAGAAGCTGAGAAGCCCTCTCTTGCTAAGGTGGAGGCAGAAAGACAAGCTCAGTTTCTTCCTCAGTTTCTTATAGCTTATAAAGCCCTAAAATACCAATAACTTCCTGCTTAGAGGAGTATACATGGAGGGGATGAGTAACAATCTAAGGAGAATTACTAATAGATAATTGTTTTCTTCTTCAAGTGCTTCCTTTCATTCCCATTCACATGGGGCCAGCAAACTCTGAGCCCTTGGAGGTAGAAAACTGAACCATAGCTCCATTTTTCCATACCACACATCAGAACGGGATGCCAATGACAACAAATGACAACAATTATCATCAGAGTCATGTTTGTATACCGCGATATTTCAGGTCTAATAGTAAACCTAAGAACATGTAGGTTTTCCATTTATTCACAGCACAGATGGCAGCAGCGTGAGTTTTCACCACCTTGCCCAACGTTTGCAATCACAATCTTGTGGAAAATCTAGGGCAATTTAAAAATGATGAGAGTTACCAGGCTTGATAGGAATAGAGTGGACTTGCTCAGAAAATATTCAAAGCAGAATGTTTAAGATTTGCTGCTTTTCCACTGAAATTCTGTGGTCCTGAAGGTAGGATATTACTTTCTATGGAATTCTACAGATCATGTATAATCAACAGTGATAAAACCAATAGACAAGCTCACACCGACACCCACCACAACCACTGCAAAGCTGATTTAACCATCACACAGGAAATAAAGGAGGAGCTTTAAAAAATTTAAACAGTGAAGACTGCATCAATACCAGATCATACCAGAATTTTGAGTTCCTTGTATGACTTAAGGTCTGGAGAATCATGGACCATCATCAGAATTTTGTGTAAGCTAATGCATGATCTTAGAGGAATTATCATACATAAAAAGCTACTATTTTGGAATTTTTATTGGACTTCTCTATTTTGGAACAAAATAAGGGTTTACATTTTCTCTTTGTATAACTCAGAAAAATGCTTTTCATATGCTCCTCTTGGGGCATGGACATCTCCCAAAATGACCAGTGGCTTTAGCTGACTGTAGTGATCAGAAAATGGCAATAGCAGCCCACATTCCAAAACTCTAAGGACTCAGGCTGAAATAAAGGAATTTGGCATGAGGTAACACTATACAGCTTAGAGCTTTTATTTTATAACTGATGTCTTACCAAATACAGCCATCTGTGTTCCCTCTGGGAAAGGTTCTACCATTCTGTTTCCATTGACATGATGTTTATCTAGAAGGGAAAAAAAAAAAAAAAGTCAAAATGTAATAGAATATATGCTTTGCATAAAACCATTTATTTCTTACAGTTCTATTGAAAGCTGAAGTTTGATTTATGAAAGCTGAGCTGTACAATTCACTGATACCTGCAACTTCACACTTTCTATTTTCCAAAAATGCTGTCTGCAAGTCCCAGGATATAAACTCAAGATGCATTCCAGTTTAGTGCCTAAGACAAGTCAGCTGTTACTAACGTGACACACACGTACAGAGCAATGTACACCCAATCACTGTCAAAGGTGGAGTATTCTTGAAAGCAACCTCCTCGTGCAAGCAGAGAAAGCAGGGAAATCATAATTGCTGCTAAAATACATTGGTGCTCAACCACAAGCTTTTAAATAGGACCAAGAATATGGTGTATTTTCTGCACCAGTGGGATGGGTTGATCTTGGCTGGCTGTCAGATGCCCACCCAGCTGCTCTCTCACTCCCCATCACCAACAGGAAAAAAATAAGATAGAAAATCTCAGAGAATCATAAAATCATTTCAGTTGGAAGAGACCTTTAAGATCATCAAGTCATTAATCCAAGACTGCCATGTCCACCACCAACCCTTGTCCCTCAGCACCATGTCTGCCCGGCTTTTAAATACCTTCAGAGATGGTGACTCCTCCAAGGCTTGATAAACCTTTCAATGTAATAATTTTTCCCAATATCCATCTTAAACCTCCCCTGGCGCAACTTGAGGCTGTTTTCTCTCATCCTATTGCCTGTTCCTTGGGAGAAGAGACCGACCCCCCCTGGCTACACCCTCCTTTCAGGGAGTTGGATGGAGAAAGGTCTCCCTCAGCCTCCTTTTCTCCAGGCTGAACACCCCCAGCTCCCTCAGCCTCTCCTCACAAGACTTGTGCTCCAGACCCCTCACCAGATCCGTTGCCCTCATGGGTTGAGGTAAAATACAGAGAGATCACCTACCAAATACCATCACAAGCAGTCCAGACTCAACTTGAGGAAAATTAATTTATTGCTGATTAAAATGTATTTGGATAGTGAGAAACAAAGATAATTTAAAACAAAACCATACCCCACCTCCCTTTTTCCCTGGCTCAGCCTCACACCATGCCAGACTCCAACCTTTGGGCTCACAGGGCTGTTTCTCACAATTTTTTCCTCACTCCTCACTGCTGTGACATGTTTTGCCTTTTCTTACGTATATTTTGCCGGAGGCACCACCAGCATTGTCAAGGGCCTCAGCTGTGTCCTGTGGCGGGGCCGGCTGGGACCAGCTGGAACTGGCTGGAACCGGCTCGGGGCAGCACCAGCCTCTCCTCACAAAGACAGGCCCTGAAACCATCCCGCTACCAAAACCTGGAAACTTACACCCAATACAACCAGCAATCTCTTCGCTAAAATGACTAAAATTCAACATATTCTGTTTTTCACATAGGACACCTCCTCTATGCCATGGCCAAGTTTCATCCATTTTTCTTAGAAAACTTGATGGATGACACAAACCGCATCCACTGTTTTCATGGAAACTGAAAAGCTGGTACATTTGAAGTTTACTTGAGTTAAACAGTCCTTTTCTAGCCATTTTGGTTACCCACTCTCAGGTGAAAGACCATTTTCTCTAAAGAGCAGCTGGGCTCTGGGAAATCTCATCTGTGGAAGCAAACACATGAGCTACAGCTATCTCGAGCTGCAGCTTAAGGCTAAATTACATATCATAGAATGACAGAATCATAGAAGTTTATCTTGGAAGGGACCTTTAACACCATCCAGTTCAACCCCCTGCCCTGGGCAGGGACACCTCCCACCAGACCAGGTTGCTCCAAGCCCCATCCAACCTGGCCTTGAACCCCTCCAGGGATGGGGCAGCCACAGCTGGGCAACCCGGGGCCAGGGTCTCACCACGCTCACAAGTCAATAATTTCTTCCTAATATCTCATCTAAACCTCCCTTCTTTTAGTTTAAAACCCTTCGCCTCATCCTGTGGCTCCCTTCCCTGATCAAGAGTCCCTCCCCAGCTTTCCTGGAGCCCCTTTAGTGAGTGGAAGGAGTTCTCCCTGGAGAACCCATCTCTTCTTATACAAAGCATTTGCATAAAAGCCAAATCAAGACTGAGACTTTCAATCTGAAGGAACACACAGACTACAGGAAAGTACAATATTACAGCACCATTGGTGCTCACAGGGATGATTTCTGTGTTATAAAATAGTCAAAGCCTGGCTTTACTCCCTCTGTGACAAGATGGCTCCCAGGGGCTAGAAACTGCTCAGTTTCCAAACTTAGTAGTACATTCTTCACATCTCAATGTACTTCTCTTTCATCCCAATGTACTCTCCTGAACATAGAGGAGATTCTACTCCATGTGATAATATAGGCTTTTCCCTATTGTATGATCAGTGTTGTATATATAACCTGGAAGGACTGTATGTATAACCTGGAAATAAGCTCTCCAACCTCCAAATAAAATAAAATATACAGATCTACAAGAGAATATTCCCAATCCTTTTCACTGGTATCCCCACATTCATTTCTTCATCTACTAAGACTCATTTTCAGCAATGGTGGAAAGAAATAAAATTGCCTGAACTGAAAATACAAGTTTCTGTTCACAAAATACTTTCCAGGGAGAAAGCCAGGAGGTTTTCTCAGTACGTGCATTATTTTACTTCCTGTAGTACAGAACCTGGTGAGGAATAAAACAGGTCAAATTAAGAACATGGGATTGCCTTACGAATTCTCTGAAAGCAATATTTTTCATTAGCAGGGAGGCACAGCACAGTACTAATCCCAGCTGGCGTCAAACATTTATCAGCAGTCAATGAGAAGGGAAAATCAGGGTTATCTGCAATGAGAGCAAGAGGCACCATAACGTCAATTGTTTGCCTTTAGGAAGATTGAATGCCCTGGGCCACACCAGCCAAGAGAGGGGCTTTAGGAAGGAAATTGTTGGGAGGTTCCAGAGTGGGAGTAATATGACCAGGGCCATACAAGGTTTCAACCTCGTTAGCTCTGGCTTTTATTACTAACATGATCTACAGCCATCTGAGATGAGCGAACAGCCAGAAAAATTATGAGACATCACGGGAGATCAAATAAACTAACCCTGCCCTACTCCCGATCGCTGCCTTCATTTAAAGAGTGAATGACATATATGATGTATGAAGTAGTTATCATTTCAAATGGTGAGGCTTTCAATATATTAAAATTAAAATTAAACTTTTAGAGGTGAGATGGGCTTGAATGAAAATAATATTTTCAAGGTCCTCAAGCTGTCTTCCAATGCCATCATACTTTTGTTTCAAAGATTGTAGACAGATAAAATAATTCCTTTTCTTGTCTTTCATACTTTGTTTTACAGTTTTCCAGTATTCTCTGCCCCCTGTCTAGATGCACTAAATAGGAAAAAATCAAAAAAAAAAATCTGCACTTTCACAAAACATACATTCAACCTTAGGAAGAAAGTAACAACACATAAATATAAAGAGCCTCTCAACAAGTACACTCTTCAAAGAACATTGCAGTTTCTGGCTTTTTACTGCACAGTTTTTCTTGTGAAAGCATAAGCTTTAATTCACACCTACAAATTGGATTGAGTAGCTCCAGAAAATCAGAAATACTTTGGCCCCATCGAATTAGAAAAAAAATTAGAAGGACTTGCCCTGTAACTTGCCAACAGAAAGAATAAATGACTGTTCCAAGCTCATCATCAGTCCAGAGACAAGGGCTTACAATAATTAAATAAGATGAAACCAGATCCATGGATACAGAGCCATGGAAAGATGATCAGTGAACAATGACCTGACTTTGAGATGTTAAATTCAGCTTCCTAGGGGTGAAAACAACGTTTCACCCTAGTACTGTCAATATTTAAAGGGTTAATCCTTCAGTGGACTTAACAGCAACCAGGCACTTGGAAAAGTAGAATTGTGAGGACATTAATGTCTTTATTTTATCTTCTTTATCTTCTTGATCCTCAGGGTTTCAACAGAAAGCCAATTGGTAAGGAATAAATTTTTATTTCTGTTTTATTGATACTCAAACTGTCAGCATTTTCATGAACCAAAGCAAACAATGGGGGCCTTGCCCTCAGAACTGTTTAATGCTGCTCCATCCTCAACTGCAAGAACAACTTTTACCATTTTTCAAACTAAGCCTGAAAGAGATCCGCAACATTCTTTACTCCCTGCTGAACAGAACCAGGATGCGCTAAAAGCAACACATATCCTGGAGGCCTTGACATTCAACTTTAGCTTGAGGCAAAGTTGGTTTTAAATAGGTGCAGTGTCTGGCCCTCCCTCCTTAGCTTCTCAGGATTTTTATAGAAATCATCCTACACGGATCCTTCTGTATCCATGAATCATAGAATCATAGAAAGGTTGGAAGGGACCTTAAAGATCTTCCAGTTCCAAAACCCTTGACCTGGGCAGGGACACCTCCCACCAGACCAGGTTGCTCCAAGCCCCCTCCAACCTGCCCTTGAACCCCTCCAGGGATGGGGCAGCCACAGCTTCTCGGGGCAACCTGGGCCAGGCTCTCACCCCCCTCACACCAAAGAAGTTCTTCCCCACACCTCATCTCAATCTCCCCTCTTTCAGTTTAAACCGTTCCCCGTCATCCTGTGGCTCTCCTCCTTCATCAAGAGTCCCTCCCCAGCTTTCCAGAAGCCCCTTTAGGGACTGGAAGGGGCTCTAAGGTTGCCCGGGAGCCTTGTCTTCTCCATGCTGAACACCCTTAACTCTCCCAGCCTGCCCTCATAGGAGAGGTGAAACAGCATAATATATGGAAAGGTAATCAAAAATTGCTAAACAGGACTTCAATATTTCTTTGGCATTATTCAGTCTTTGCAGCTCCACAGTTTCTACCATAGTCCTACAATGGCCCTTTACTAAAGGTTCACTGACTTCAAGTGAAGTTCTGCCCACACAGGGATTATCTCTGCACTAGTAAACTATTAAAACAAACAAGTCATATCTAGAAACTATTTGAGATGGTGCTAATTAGCTCA